CTGGGCTAAGGCGGGCAAATCCATCCTCCGTCCAAGAATGAGTGACTGATCCTCCTCCACGGGTGACAAGTGAGATGGTGAGAGGAGAGGATCCTTGACGGGATGGAACTTGAGAGTTGGCAGGAAAAAATGAGTTGGTTAGCAGAACAGCAGTCGGAGTACAAACAGGAAAAACGTCGGAATGAAACAAACTTTAAGTTTTTTCAGTGGCAAACATTAAATTAAGGGATAAATCGCCGATGAAAAAATTCAACGCAAAAAACATCCGCGATGGAAAATGAAAAATAAAATAAAACACCACTTTAAACATGCGAAGCACAAATAATCGCGCTTGTCAGTCAACACTGCAACTCGAGGCGGTTACCAAAGCGATTCTCGTAGCAAACGTACAGTCACCGTATGACGGCATTCAAAACGGATATCTCCGGGAATAAAATCCCAAGAAATTCACAGGCGCATTTTGCAGTTTGTCCACATCACTGGACTTCCCTTCATACACCTTTGTTACTTGCTGACCGTCAACTTCAGTTATAACATTTTTCAAGTCTGCCGAAGTCTCATTCACGATTTTAGACGTTTTGCAATTATCTGCGTCGATGCATCGACCAGCTGGATTATACTCGTGCAGAACAAACTTTGTAGTGCACGGGCTTTCTCTCTGCAACTGAGCAAGAGGAACTTTAACTTTTTCAAACTGCGCATCACCGCACAATTCAGTTAGATTTTCAGATTTAGACATTTCCACACATTCTAACGCATTTTCAAACGTTTTTTCAGTCACTTCAGCATTTTCACGTTTCTGCAAAACATTTTTAATAGTCTTCTGCATATTGCACCAATAATATCGAGTGGTCAGATACTGCTTAACTGACACGCCGCGCGGTAATAATTCATTTTTCCCACATCGTTCACGTACTGATTTCACAAGTTTTTCTTGCCATTGTTTAGGCACCACAATTCTATCAATACCATTTTCTGACCGCTTACGACACAACAATCCATTTATCACAACCATGTGATAGATTTCTTCATTTTCAAATTTATTTTTAGCTTTCACTGGGTTTTTGTACAAGTAGAACCAATGTTTGGTATCCTTGTACTTACGCTGTTCAGCTTTCCAAAACTTTTCATTTACAAAATTTTCAGCCAGAAAGGCTTTATTATCATCATCAGGCTTACCCCCGCAAACTTGACTGGACACAGTCGTCTGCGACGTCTCGGGCGGTAGCTCATTGGGCACTGTTCGCCCCCGCAAACTTGAGTGCTGCTGCAATTCAGTTTCCAACTTTTCAGTTAATTTTAAACCGCAGTGTACAGTACGAATTTCCAATGAACGGGCTTCCGCATTTTTCATATTGTAACGCTTAAGCACTTCAATCGGCGGTTCCTTTGAATCGTCTTTCCATTTACCAGCAAATGTACAATACTTTGCTGGGTGCAGTTCGTGACACTTAAAGCAGATCGGCTGACCGCTGTCAGTTCGCCATTTATTTACGTTAATTTCGACATTTCCAATCATGTACGGGTTTCAACCGTAATTACTGTAGCTTTCATCATTTTCAGTCTCTTCGTCATCTTCACATTCGGCATCATTCAAACTTTCAGTTTCATACGAGTATTCATCGTACACATTATCACAGTTATCATCCTTTTTAAAGGAGTCGTCATTTTCGTACATTTCCTTTTGAATTTTCAGCGAGTACAGCGTTTTTAACTGTGTCAGAACATTTTCAACAGTTTTCGGTTTCGACATAGTCAACTTCTCAAACCACTCAATACGCGTTTTCTTCAGTCCTTGAATAAGAACTGAAACTCGTTCTTCTTCCTTTGTATTCAGTGTATTAAACCAGTTCAGAAAGCCATCAACATATGAATTTACCGTGTCTTCCTCTGTGAAGACACGTGCGTACATTGCTTGCCGTATTTCGGCCGGGTCACTCTCCGATGAGAAGTGACTAATTAATGCTGCTTTCCAGTAAATCCAGTCTTTATCTGGATTTAATTTTTTCTGTTCTACATACCACAGATAGGCGTCGCCTTTCAGTGCGTATGACAGTCCTTTTTCAATTAGCTGCTTTTCATTCCATTCATTCAAGTCTTTACACCTTTCACAGTCCACAATGAACCGCTCAACTTTACCGCTTTCATGTGTACCTTCATACACTTGCGGGTATTGAATTTTCTCAGACGCTTTAGGCATTCGCTGCATTTCATCCATTTTCAACATCAAAGCTAATTGACGTTCCATTAGTTCATCAGCTCGTGTTTTTTCCACACGGCATTCATTTTCAAATCTCCCAGTTTTATTGCGCAGTTTATTCAGTTCAGCTTTTAGCGCACTGTTTTCAATCTCCATATTCGTATTACGGCTGTTTAACGCATGACATATGCGATTCGCATTGCTGTACTTCCTTTGAAGTGCAAGCGCAGTTACCGCCGCAGTATACAGAGATGCCCAAGCAATCTCTTTCAGTTCATTCACCTTCATTTCGTTATCAATTCTTACATCCCAATTTTCAATTGCTGCTTCAAACCTTTCTTGGTTAAGCGAATATTCAATCAATTCAGACTGCAACGGGTGCATATTGTACCACAATTCTTCATTTTCAGCAAAGCCGCCAAACTGTACGGCATTTTCGTTTTGCTGTGCTGCATTATCGTATGCAGTTGACGCAACGCCTTTCGTGTCCATTGCACTGATTTTCCGAGGAACTATCGTTCTTACCCGGATACTTCAGCTACGGCTTTATTTGGAGTGCCTGTTGCACTGGCTTTAAATTTTCATCCGGTAGGCTTTTGCTCTACGCGGAAACTTAAGCTACGCTTTTGTTTTCAGTTTTTCAGTGTTCGTTACACTGACTATCGGGTTGACTCTTTTGTTCTCACCCGGATACTAGGTTCGAGATTTTGATCTTCGGTGTTCTCTCACCGCTCACAGCGCTCGCAGCTGCTCTGGCTGTATGGCTACGCTAAGATTTGGTGCACCTGTATGCTTGGCTTTTCGCTCTCGCATACAATACTTTAGCTCAAGATTGTATCGATACTTTATATGCTCAGGCACTGCTCTGGCATACAGTACTTTAGCTCAAGGAAAACTGCTTTCGAACTTTTGTCTACTTGCAGTCCAGTTACGTAACTGCTACGCTTTAGACTTTCTAGGAAACTCGTGCCCTGCAGAAGCTACGAGTACCTACTTCAGCTTCAATTCACATTCATCAATTCACATTCACGCTCATTCATCATATTCATTTCATTTCATGTCAGTGCTCATGGGTCGATCTACAGGTTATCCCTGCATCGCCCTGCTGGCAGGTCACACTGCTCAGCGTCCAAACAGAGCAAAGCCCCCGGACATTTACAGGTTTTCGTCGTGGGTCGCAGGCACGGGTCAGCAGAGTTCCCCCTTACTAACGCGTCGCCAGTACCCGGACTACTACCGTTTTAGGCGTCCAGACGGCAGACCAGCTGCCCGGACATCCGTCCAGTCAGTACAGATGTACCCGGACTGAGCACTACAATTCAACAGTCACTATCACATTTCAGTCACAGTTTTACTTAGCTGGCCATCGGAAAGGTTCGAACATCGGTGGGCGCCATGACGGAGAGATCAGTAAGATAGGAATAATTACCGCAATAATCTATCCTACCGACCTAACTCAACGACAGAGAATGAGCTAATATCTCAATGTGGCATAACTAAGCCTATGAATCTACGCGAAGCGAGAACTGCATCTCCGACGATAATTTTAATTAATCACTCCGAAACTGCCAAACTCGTAATGAGAGAACTGACGATGTAAAATCCTGCCACTCACGGACTTATATAGACACGGCGCATCCGTGTAGAAACAACCAAAAGTAGATCCGAACACAAAAGAGAACGATCGAGAATGTACAGCGATAATAGAAAGTACGAGTAAAGCCGTCACTTTACGTACGCATCGCTACTGTACTGCTATATTCCGTCATGTCAAATATCAGCAGCCCGCTTGTATCTGCGGCACGACTGCTGCGCGCGTATCGGTTAATCATCTTTCCGCTATGACTAAGAGAAAAAAATTGAAACATGTTCCCACCACTGATAACGGATACACTCGTAGAAATAAACACCAAATCTGACAGCACCGTCAATTCTGCAATAAATCTGTCTTCAGTGCCATTCACTACCATGGACAACGCAACGCAACAAGCGCAAACTTATTAAGAAAAATAATTTCACTTATCTTAATGACAGTTAATATTGATTTTTTCTTCATGTGTAATAAATTCGCTAATTAGGGGCTAAAAAAACCAGGTGCGAAATTACTAATTAGGGGCAGATTCGCTAATTAATTAGGTGCTAAATGTGCTAATCAGGCGTGAATGACTCTAGTTAGTTCATCAAATTTTTGCTCAGATACTAATTATTAAGTTAATTAATTTAAGCTTATTATCTTAAAACTTAATGACGAACTACAGTAAGTACAGCGTAATTACATACAGTTAATGCAGCCTGGATCATTACGAACGTTTATTAGCAGCGCAAGATAATTTTAACGAGTTGACAAGCGGTCATGAATGTGAGCGCGAATTATAAAACCGAGCTCAACAGCTCGGTTTTCTAATTCAGCAACTGATTCTCCATCTAACCAATGCGCGCGGCGTTATACGTGAATCTGTCTGACTCACAAATCAGTGCGTCAGTTGTTGCGCACTCGAGAGTTTTGACCTAGATACAATTCGCATCAGAGTCCCAATACGTTGGTATATTTGACAGCAACTAGTAAAGACATCCCATGAGCTCCCTGCGCTTGCCTGTTACAAAACTGAAAATCATCGGCTGGACCGAACACACAAAACGCCATGGGGAGCAAAATCGTTTTTCCTCAAAAACCAAGCGCTGCCCGATAAAAGTTAAGTTGGCCATTCGGATTTCTCAGTCTGCAATGTCACGCGCTTATTTTGCGAACGGTGATACCAGAGTTGCCGTCCAGTTCTTTCTGAATTGTATTTTGCAAAGCATGGCCAAAAAGAACTTCCAACGGGTGCACGGTGACCTCGCGTAGGAGACCGTCCCACATTTTGACCACGCTCACAGCTATACCGCTGCCCTGACCCAGGAGTAACTTTAAGTCTATTGTGTGACGTGCACTCCGAAGGACCACTGGGTGGGTAACTTATCTAAGTTAAAGCCGGTGGGCTAAGGCATACGTGGGAATTTAAAATGAATTTTGAATAAAGGGAAGGCAGCCACGGTAGCTAGACTGCAGCGCATTGTCAATCTGGACTGCTCTAGTTCTGATATTCCTGTGGTTCTTACACGCGCACAAATCTTGGATACCCTGAGTCTAAAAGATGTGAAATAGATTGCGTGATACCGTAGAAGTTAAAAAAAGTGGAAGTTTTTAACCAGTGGTTCATGGGAATTTTTTAAAGGGATGCCGCCAACTTGGCGTGACCAGGGTGTATAAGCGTCTAAATGAACAATTAAAAATTGCGACCTGCTGCGAGAAGCTCTCTGCAAAAATTGTTGCAACAAGTAGCGACCAAAAATGACAGTCCCTCCTGGCTGAAGTTGTTTGCCTTTGCCCCAACAGCGCTTCGACTGCCTGCCAAAACGAAATCCGAGCGCACCAGCACTTTGGCCACTGCAGTGAAAAAGAATCTAGATCTGTTCGACCGCGACATTGAGATCCCACCCCTGCAGTCTGCCAAAACCAAGAGGAAACGCAGCACGGACGAAGACATAGCTCGTCGTGTCGGCGAAAAGATTGATGACGGGTCCGTTTCTGGTGCGATGCGCATTGTGATGTCTACGGATTCCGTCGCGGACATCACCTCTGACACTCTGAAGGAGCTCAGAGCGAAGCACCCCGAATTTGCGCCTCCGCCTGTGTCAGTCCTCAATGCTGATACACATGTAGCGCCTCCCGTAACCGCCGCAGATGTTTTTGCAGCCATCCGCAGCTTTCCACGGGGCTCTGCTGCAGGACCAGACGGGTTGCGCCCTCAACATCTAATCGACATAGTCGGTGGGAAAATGGACGATCACAGTGGACAATTTTGCGAGAGCCTAGCTGCTGTTCTCAACGTTGTTTTGGAGGGAAAAGTGCCAGCTGATATCCGTCCTGCTTTCTTCGGTGGAAAGCTGCTGGCCTTGCGGAAGAAGGACGGCGGGCTGCGCCCCATTGCGGTCGGAATGACACTGCGCCGTGTCATTGCCAAAATTGTTTGCAGTAAAGTAGCGGAGCGGGCGGTTGCTGTTCTTTCTCCTGGACAAGTTGGCTTTAACGTACGTGGTGGGGCTGAAGCAATAGTACACGGAACCAGACAATTTATCAACGAGAATCCCGAAATTACAAAAGCCATCGTCAAAGTGGATTTCCGTAATGCGTTCAATACAGTTTCGCGAGAAGTAGTGCTCGACGCTGTGAAATCGCACTTCCCGGAATATTTCGCCTTTTTCCAGTCAGCTTACGGACATCATTCTTCACTGTTCATCGGTGAACATGTTATGTCTTCCGAATCCGGAGTGCAACAGGGTGATCCGTTGGGCCCGCTATTGTTCTGTCTAGCTTTGCAAGCCGTAATTCTCACCCTTAATACCGAGTTAAACGCTTGGTACCTTGACGACGGGACGCTTGGCGGTCTCCCAGAAAGTGTACAGGAGAATTTAGCTCGAGTTATTGAAGGTGCTCGGAGAATTGGATTGGAAATTAACGTTACAAAGTGTAAACTATACGTTTCTGGCGGGTCGGAGACAGCTCAGCAGAAAGCAGTAGATGATTTTCTTGTCCAACACCCCGGTGTCCGTGTAATGTCCAGCTCCAGTCTGACTTTGCTTGGAGCTCCTGTCTTGGACGCCGCGATCGCCCCCCTGTTTGCCGAGAAAGCGCAATCGTTGGCCACGGTGTGTGAGCGGATGCAGCTGCTCCCACGTCACCACGCGCTTTTCCTTCTACGCCACTGCCTCGGTGCACCAAAGATCGTATACATGCTGAGATGTAGTAATGCCTGGAAATACTCAGAGCAATTGTATAAAATCGACGAATCTTGCGTTCCTGCTTCCAACAGTTGTGCAACGTCCGAACCAATCACGATGACTATCCCAGCTGGCGTCAGGCGAGCCTCCCGGTTAGCAGAGGTGGTATTGGCTTACGTCGCTCGGAGGAATTAGCACTCCCAGCCTTTCTGGCTTCGATTCACTCCGTTGCCGACCTGGTGTCTTTACTGCTCCCAATCGACCGGCCGTCGATGTCTCTACAGCGCTGGAAATTTGGAAAACCAATGCCCGGTTGACAGAACTGCCTTCACCAGATTTCCGAAAGTCACAGAAATCATGGGACCTCCCGTTGTGTAACGTGTCTCTCGCTACATTGTTAGAAGTATTCCGCGACGATGAGGTTAACAAGGCGCGTCTACTCGCTCAGTCGAGACCGGAAGCCGGTATTTGGCTTAATGCATTGCCTTCGGCCCATATCGGCAACCTGCTCGACGATGACACGCTGAAAATCTCCGTCGGGCTCAGACTCGGCGCTAAGATCTGCGAACCGCACAACTGCGCGAAGTGTTACAAGCCTGTCGACTGCTACGCCCATCACGGTCTTTCGTGTTCTTTTTCCGCCGGCAGGCATCCACGGCATGGTGCTCTTAACAGTGTCGTATGCCGCGCATTCGTATCAGCCGGAATCCCTGCAAAACTGGAGCCTCGCGGCACTTCTAACACAAGTAGCAGACGCCCAGATGGATGCACAACATTTGCTTGGCAGAGGGGCATGTGTCTAGCTTGGGATGTTACGTGTGTTGATACGGTTGCCGCTTCCCACATCAAGTCTACATCGGCAAACGCGGGATCGGCGGCCGTTCAGGCAGAGGAAAGGAAGACCAGTTTATACTCTTATTTGGTCGGTCGTTACATTTTCGCGCCCATCGCTTTTGAGACAATGGGCCCTTGGGGACCGTCGGCCATTGCCATCATCAAAGAACTGGGAAAGCGTTTACGGACCCATTCAGGAGAAGTCCGCTCTCACGAATTTCTTCGGCAGCGATTGTCTATTGAGATACAACGCGGCAACGCCGCCTCTGTTTTGGGCACCGCAGAGAGAGCGGATGTGTTTACTGAGCTCTTGTTTATTTAGCTGTTTCTTAAACCATGTACTCGTTTGGTTTAAATAAAATTTTGATGAATTAAAAATTAATCTATTATCAGACTATCAGGTAATTTAACTCCATGCCGTTAATTACAATTACAGTTTCCATTGCGGTAATTAATTCATAAATGAACTGTACCATGTCTGCTAACAACGGTAAACGTTTCCAGTTTAATTCAGCGCCGCAACTGACATTTTATTAGCAACCTGATGTGCTTAATTAGGTAATTGATCTGCCTAATTAATTAATTTTTGACAAAGTTGAAACCATTGCAATTAGCAATGCACTACGTAGCTTCTCTGTAGAAAATTTAAAGCGGCAATTATTTTGTAAAAGAATATGAGGTTCTTATAAATTTCTTGAAGTATCATTTCCTGTCATTTCTCATTCCTTATCCCTTCGCTGCTCACCGAGTCTCCGGTTCCGCTCATACAAATCGTCTTACGATAAATGCGTTTTACCGGTGATGCGTGCCTAGTAAGCGTGACATTCTAACATCGCTCGCATAAGTTCATCGGTATGTGTTGTTATTGGTTATTGCTTATCTCTTTGGACTTCGAACCAAAAAAATTGTTAAAGCTATACCAGGCTGGGAATAACAAAGCTGGGTATGCTTGAGGTATGCTACTGGGCTAGCTAAGATTCACATAATCATAATCATAAAACATAACACATAACATAAAACATAATTCATAAGCATAAGCATAAACATAACTCATAAATATAACGTTGCTCATAAAATCTACTCATAAATCCCCATCTCCGGTTTATTTTCCGTAATTAAGTACTGTACTTAAAATAAAATTAAGAAAGATTTTTCTTCTACTAGCATGCGGTTTCGTTAACGTGTTGTGTACGGTAAAAATGTTGCACCTTGACCATAAAACAGGCAGTACAGCGCTAGTGAGATTCTACTGATTGTGTTTTTTGATAACGCTGTGCATTGTAATCGAGGTGAACAAATTATGTTAAACTTCAGGAATATGTCACAGATGCAGCTGAAGCATTTTACGAGTTCAGACAAGTTCTATTACGAAGTCCCGGGCGTCCTGGATTTGGTTTGCAGCTTCTTGAAACGTTATAGCACCAATGCTAACGGCAGCATAAGCTTCGATCGCGCTTTTAAGGTACTCTTGCATTGGTTCGTAACGCTGGTCATGGCATGCGAATTCAATCTGGATTTCGTGAAGGCGATCTGTGTAGCGCGTAAAATTTTCATGGTGTAACCACAGTTTATCCAGTTTTTCTCGCCCCCAGTAAATATTGAACAATCCGCAATAGCAGTCTCCGTACGTGTTTGCACGTTTTGTTGCATTCTTATTTCTTCCGGTTTTCGCTCTTTTAATGTGCACGATGTCCGCTCTTTCGCTTTCGGTCGATTTCTCGCCAATAAAGTACGTGTGTAAATCATCCCACAATCCATGAATATTCAGTAAATTGCGGCTAGTGACATCTCTGCATGTTGGTTGCAATGAGCACAGGCTTGCTGTTTGACTGGCTTTCTTTAGCTCCTGAATCCTGTTCTCCACTTCCTGTGAAAACTCTTTCAAGACTTTCTGCAGTTTCCGCAAATTTATCAGCATATCTACATCAAGCTGTATGAGGCTTCGGTGAAAATTGCCCATTAATTCATGTACGGCGCCCTGGTCAGCATTAATAACAAGTGAACATTAACAAAGTTGACCTTTAAATTCTTTCTTACAAGAACCAAATCATTTGACCATGCGTATCTGATCTGCAGTTGATAATGACTCCAGAAAATCTGTGGCAGAATTATAGTTGGTGAAATTACTGGGGGACTGGGCTGCAGCACGATGAAATCTTTTAAGTACCGCAAAAAAATAATTTGGCTCTTCCAACGCAATTCTGGGCATTTTGTATATAGATTTTTAGTACCATTAACATCGCTTACATCTTTCGTGTATGCAGTTGATAGTTACACAAAATAGAAGAACGGTAGTTTTATTGATTAATACTTGTACCAGCAAGCTACCACGGTAACTACGATGCAATACTATAGTTTAATAGAGCAGGTTTAATACCTCATAATACACCTGTACAGAAACACGTCTTAATTATGCATGCTAAACATACACTGAACATGAATATATATTAAGCAGTAAGCACAGGTTAAATGTAAGAGTACTCATACAAGCAGAATAAAAGCATCAGTACAAAGATATATTATTACGAACAACAAAAATCACAAAATCGAAAAGCATGGAAGCTGGTATGGAGTTGCTCTTGTACGCTAACATGAATATGATGTGCTCAAAAAGAAGTTACACTGACAGTGTTTTCTTACACAAAGGATGTTAACGCAAAATATAAACTCCACGCTATTCAGTTGACGAGTTTATAATATACATACTCACAAAGCAGCAAAAAATTCGGCAATTTGCTGCAACTCAACTTGCGAAAACAAAACTGCTTTGTCCATTTGGCACTGCTTCGGAGAGAATTTTGGATGGCGATCTCGCACACAAGCCACCAACATACAGTACCTTCGTTTTCGCGGTGTACTGATTATGGACTTCCCTCCCGTTCCATTCTGGTAGTCAAACTTCTCTCTCGCGATGAATAACTGTGAGCCTTTTCTATTTCTCAGTATAATTTTACAGCCCGGGCAGCAACATAAAGCGTGGACCTGCTCTTCTTTCGAAATAACGAATGGACTCGCTCCTTGCTGCCACGGCTTTAGTGGTTTTGGAGCGGTCTTGCAACAGGGACAGCGCTCTAAAACGGTAACATGCCGCAAATGTATTCCCTGGATATAAATGATCTTAAAACAAGTAATTTACCAATCTTTTACCTGGAGAAGTGTTACGAAGAGGCTCAGCCACAACAATTTGGTTTAACAAGTCTGTCTGCGGATGGTCAACATTAAACCCAGCTGAACCTGTCGACGGCAGTTGGCTCAAGTTATCTCGGGTAGTGTAACCTCGACCAGTCCTCTTGGTCTTCTGCCCTATCTTTTTTCCACCTCCAGAAACCGTAGGAAAACGTAAGGGTTCTAAAATATCCCTCCGCTTTACGAAATCAGCCAGGCACACAACCAACCCATTCAGAGCAGCTGTTGCGATTACGTGTTTGCATAGTCGGTTTTGATTGGTATTCGACCACGGACAGCGGCATTCGAACTTTCCGGTCACTGAATCGATGGAAACATGGTACTGCTGCAAGAAATCGGTTTGGGATAAAACTCCAAAGTGCTGGATAGATCCGTCGCTAGCTGTTTTCGAAGTCGGCTACTTCACAACCTTCTCCGGATGAGTGATATAATGAGCTGCTTTTATAAATTCTGGTCGATGGTGAACTTGAAAGCCATGTTGCTGATAGATGTCCATTAAATCCACATCATTTTCCGAAAGGTCATCGACTGTTGCTTTCCATATACTGAGCGTTTTCTCCTGATCCGGGTCGCTTCCGAAAAACTTTTTTAATTTTTTTTCCATGACATTTTTATTGTTCCGTTCGGCTTTTCTAATCAACAGCTCGTTGTCGATCACTGAGTAATCTCCAAGTTCCATCAACGCGCGGCATATGTCTTCGCATTTCGACTGAAGTAGATTATCCAGTCTTTCGATCAATTCGCACTGTTGCAGCTTCTTTCCAGCTTCCAGGCCAAGTAGGTTATTGACACCTTCTACATCGTTGGTGGGCGGTAAATTTGGATAAGTGCCAAAAATCCTCCTTATTACCGGGCCCATTTTTGCGTGAAGTTTCTTGATTCCGTTTCTCGATTCCATTAAAAATTTAAGTACTTCCGGATTTTCGTCCGCGCGGTCGAATTCTCTGGCGTGTTTCAGCATCTCATCCAACGTCTCTTCATCGAGACCACGTGCGGTTGCCGTCTTCCTTAAGAAGCTCTAGGACGACTTGCATTTCATTAAGCACAGCGGTCTCTGGAACATGTGGTACATTTTGCTGAAAGCAACGAATGGTTAGTCTTTGAAAAGACCACTTTTATTAGCTTCACTAAAATACTAGCAAATTGAAATATCAAGTTAAAGTCTGCTAGTTCGC